TCACTCACTGTGTTAACTTCATACTTCAAAGGATTTTCTTGCTTCACCGTCTCCAGCTGCTGTAATGGAAAGCATAAGCTACAGACATCCAGAAATCTTTTTTTTTCTCATCCAACAAGCATTTAGAAGGGGAAAGAAATAGGAAAATTGGGTGTATTTAGAAAGCAAGAAGACTCTTCAAAGTTATACTCCTGGCTTCCTTTGCTTCCTTCAAGACTCTCTCACTGTCTATAAGAGATACTTCCTGGTTTCCACTCATCTACCCCAACTGTTTGTGCCTTTCCTTGGGAGGTTACCTCCTCTTTACAGAGTCTGTGTCTTGCATGTACATACCATTTGCATGTTGTCTCTCCTGTTAGAATGTGAGCTCCTTGAGACAGAGCCCCCATTTTTGTCTCATTTTATCCCCCGCACTTAGCATAGTGCATGTATATATACATTTATACATATATACACATATATACACATATATGTACATACATACATACATATATACATATATGTATATGTGTGTGTGTATATATATATGTGTATATATAAGACACACACGATTGGGGTTTTCTTAGCAAAGATACTGGAATGGTTTGCCATTTCCTTTTCCAGTTCATTTTACTGATGAAGAACTGAGGCAAAGAGGGTTAAGTGACTTGCCCAATGTCACACAGCCAGTGTCTGAGGCCAGATCTGAAGATGAGACTTCCTGACTTCAGGCCCAGCACTCCATATGTATGGACTCCACCCAGCTGCCCCATATGTAGTAAGCACCTAATAAATGCTTATTATCCCTGAGAGTGAAGGTACCAGGGCAACCTGTACCCATTGGTGCTGTAAAATGCATTCTTTGATAAAGCTTTCTAAAGGATGGTCTGATGTTTATTTTCTTTTCATTAACTACAAATGGGTTTCCATTCATTATGAGCATTACTTTTTTTTTTCTGAGGCTTGTCCAGGATCACACAGCTAGAAAGTGTCTGAGGTTAAATTTGAACTCAGGTCCTCCTGACAGTGCTCTATCCACTGTGCCACCTAGCTGCTCCTTCAAGATACTCTTCTGGACACTATGTGGCATACTGAGATAAAGCACAGTACCTTGTCTTGTCAGCTTCATTCTAATAATAATAATAATAATAATAATAATAATAATAATAATAATAATAATAATGCTAGTATTTATATAGTACTATAAAATTTGCAAGACACTTTAAAATATAATTTAATTGATCCTCAAAACAACCCTCGAAGACAGATGCTATTATTATCTACATTTTGCAGATGAGAAAACAGGGTCTTACAGTGTCTGAAGTAGGATTTGAACTCATCTTCCTAACTCCAAGTCCAGCACTCTTACTTACTGAGCTCACTATCTGCCTAAGTAAAGGGGATATAGAAGATGTACACAAATAATTATAATACAAGGTGGAACATAAAGGTAAAATAAAAGAAGTACAAAAAACACTGTGGGATCTCAAAGGAGTGGTAGATCATATCTAAGCAGAGAGATCAGGGGCGGTTTCATGAAGAAGATGGCATTTGAGTGGAATCTTAAGAGATAGGTAGGAATCACATTCAATTAATCAACAAGCATTTGTTAAATGCCTACTCTGTGCCAGGCACTGTACCCCAAAGAAACAAAGACAAAAATGAAATAGCCCCTACCCTCAAGGTATCGTACATTCTACTGGGAGAATGTGACTCAGTTTTTTCATCTGCAAAATGAGGTTGTACCCAACGAGCCCTAAGGTCCCTTCTAGTTCTACATTTATGAGCCTATGGAGAGAAAGGAGATTCTCCTTGGCAGAGATGAGAAGGAAATGCATTCTAGACATGAAGACCAGCATGTGCAAAAGCACAGAGATGGGAGGTGGTGTCAGGTGTAAGGAAGGGCAAAAAGGTCCTCTCAACAATAGGGAGCCATTGGAGTTTGAGTGTGTGTGTACGGCGGTGTGTGTAATAAGAGTGATTTAGTGGGGGAAATCACATCTCCCTTGCAATAGGAAACCACTGGACTATCAGTGGGCGTAGCACAGGGACAGGTGACAAAGTCAGCCTGTTTTAGGGAATCATGTCTCTGTTCCACTCCTGGCTGCTCTCACGACTCTCCTCCACAATGACCCCTTATTCCTCCCTCTTCCTGTTTCAACTCCCTTTCATATGTCTTCTCCCATTAGAATGAAAGCTCCTACACGGCAGGAATTGTTTTTCTTTTGACATGTATCTGTATTCCCAGAACAGTGCCTAGAACATATTAAGCACTTAATAAATGCTTCTTGACTTGAATTGGACTTTAGGGATGGAATGAGGGACATAGGCTACGGACAAGGTCAATTTATCCACTTATTTTGGTTAATTGTACTTCTCTGTCACATGGAGGGCTCCACTGAGAGCTATTGGGAAATGAAAGTGATACTAGAACCTTCCCCACCCCAATAAAAAGCATCAGTTAAAAAAATTTTTTTAAGTGAGCAAGTGAAAAGATTTCTCTTAAGAAGTTTGGCTGGGAACAAATGGCATGTATGACTTAATTCCAAATGAGTGACGATAGAAAGACTTTGAGAATATCACTTAGGGGTCCTTACATTGAATTTTATCACCAGAATTCAAAATATTTATCTGCACACTGACATCATGACACCCTGTGCCATTCTTTGAAGTGACTTTGAAGCAGTTTGGAAACCTTACACTTTAGGTCTCAGTTGCCTTTCCAAGTCAAGTACAGAGTATCATCCTCCTTCTCTTAAAAAGAAACTGAGATACTATGAGATAAAGGCTCTTATTACAATGATAAGTTTGCCAATTTCTGCTACCATTCCCCCCCGAGCAGGTTCTAATCCTGATGCTTCATTTTGGTAGCTCTTTCTTCATCTTTAATCCCTTATTTGGTGTGGCTACAAGATAATATACAGAAGGCTGGGGTCAGGATAAAAACTATCACAAAGTACAGCAGCAGCATGTCTCTAGTTTGTGACTTTACAATGAAACTACATTAAAATGGACATAAGACCCACAAAATAGAAGGCAAATGGGTTTCATCCCTAGTGGTGGGGGAAGAAATCCAGGCAGAAACAGTAGATGTTTATTTCATAATTACTTAAAATTAGCATACTCTCCAAAACATAAAAAAAAACATCATTTACCACTGATGAAAGGGGATGACTGATTAGAGAATGACAGTTACCAGGAAAAGATATCACTTGATTTAACTCCAAGTTTGAGGCTTTTTGGAAGAATAATAATGCTTTGTCTTTTTACAATGCTCTGAATTGGCATTAGCTGAAGTCAGATAATGCAAAATCATAAGCTATGCAAAGCTACTGAGGGAAAAAGAGCAATTCACTCTGATTTACTACTAAAGGTTCTAACTCTAATAATTCATTTAACCAAGTACCATATTATAGTATAACATACAAATAGTATTCTTATAAAACTGAGGAACTGCTTTATAAGCTCACAAGTCTTACTCCCAAAAATTTCATAGCAAATCTGTTTCTAAACAGACCACAGTCCACTTTTAAAACCATCTACTGGGTTGTCAATAGGATGATGGTTCAGCAGATACATTAGCAAACACGTTACCTTAGATGAATGAACAAGGTCATTTTCACACAAAAACTCTTCACATAAAAGACCTTCCAAAGAAATAAATAAATGTACCCCCCCCCGAAAAAAAACCCCAAACACCACATACACAAGATACCATAAAAGACCATTTCTAAATGTAGGCCCACTCAAAGCTGTTTGAAAAGGCACTGGTGTATCTTAAAAATAATTTCTAACATAGGTTTTGCTTTACGGTTGCCACAAGTAGATAAATAAAATGGCTGATTGAACTACTCTCTATCTCTACAGATTCTGTAGAGTATGAGAATATGGCTACAGACATATTTTCATTGCACATGAAAACAAAGTAAATGCTTAATCTCTCTTCCCTCAACTCCCTGGAAACCATCTCTCAGGGAAACATCATATTTATTTTTTCTTTTGAGATGGCAATTCTGTTTCAAAGGTACTTTTGTTAGCCATTTTGGTCTGTGTTTTGTGTTCCATTTTTTTAAAATGTGCTTTTAAAATAGAAGCAGCCTTATATTATAGAACATAAGTTCTTAACCTTTCGTTTCTCCAGCCTTCAGATCACTGGTAGCATGGAGCTGAGGGTAGAAATGCTGGGAAGATAATAAGCAAGCCTCTAAACACAAGGACAGGAGAAGAGTGACACTGCTAACAGAAAATCTCATTATTATGTATCTATGAAAGTAAATATGGTAAGATCAGAGGGCAGAAGTGAATGTAACACTGGCCTGCTTGATTATCTCATACATTCTTTAACTGAAATTAAGTTTGGGGCTCCAAAAACACACAGAGATGTGCCTGATAAATCCCAGGCCTCCCATGTTCCCTAGTTAATAGTTATGAACTTCTGTTACATTACCTTGTGAAATATGTGAAAAACTTCTAATCCCAATGAATTTGGGTGTACATACCTTCAGTCTCTAACCCCACATTCCAGTTTTCTCTTCAAAAATAAAGGGAAGAAAAAAAAAAGCCCCGCGTCAAGGGGAGATGAAACATGGCATAGTGAGAGGGTTGGCTTGGAGTCAGCCTGGATGACATGAGTTCAAGTGCTGCCTCTGACACACATTAGGTGTGTGACAACGGCAAGTCACTTAACCAAAAACTATCAGTGCCTCAGTCATTCCCTTCAATGATCACTTATGGGTAGATTACCAATCTGCAGCAATATAGGGAAGTTTCTATACCAACAGTTCTCCAAACTGATCAAATCACAGGTCCAGTTTAAAATTTTATAAAGTCCTATCATTTGAAGCCTGAAATTAATTTAAATATTTACTATAGATGTCAGTCAACATTTTCTCTACCTCTAGGAGCAAAGCACTATATTGTACTAAGTGTTCTAGGGAGAATACAATTATAGAATACCTTTTCTCTGACCCCCAAAAGATCATAAACGTTTGTCTCCAAAGTTAAAAAGCAAAAAGACCAAACATTTTTCAAGTAGGTGACTTTTATTTCTCTTTCAAATTTCACAGTCAAGTCAATTTCTGCAAAATTGCATCCTTCCCCCAAAAGACATTTCTACCCTACAGAATTCACAGCTGGATATGCATATTAATGTATGCATAACAGTTACATCCTAGCTACAGGTAGCATGAAATTGGGAGGGGGAGGAGAGTCATAAGGGTCATACATCAATACTAGAATTAGGAGAAAAAAGGCAACAAAAAAGTTATTGATTACAAACTTCATTGACTCCATTTCCACAACCAATTTAATCCAATATCATTTTTTTTCTAGAGGCATTTCCATGTTGTTCATAGTAACAGCTAAAATTCTAGGGGCTGAAAATACACCTAGGGCACCTTCTGGATAAGATCTATGCCACGACTGACTTATCACTCACAGAAAATATTTGCTGCTTCATATATTAGACCCCACTACGCATCTGCGAGACCAATGCTACTTACAGCCTCGTCCAACCAGTGGAGCAGATATCTTCCTGATCAGCCCAAGAGTCGTTTTCCCACACGCAGATCTGGCTTCTGGTCCAGTTTGCTGGCCTCAATGCATCTCCCTCCACCTTCCCATGTCTAGATTCTCCATTCAGATCTAGCTACTTACAGTTTAATCAAAGAGAGAAAAACAATCTTAATAAGGCTTCCAGCTCTGAGGCATCTAGAACAGAAAGATTATCCTGAATCATATCTGTTTCTTATCTCCATTTAGTAATAAGGATCAATGACCACTTTCATCATCTTTTGCTGTGACACTAAGCAAAATGGAAACCTTAATCTGGGAAGAAGAACACAAGAAGCTTACAGCTCCACAGCGGATTTTTCTGATGAAATAAATTTGGTTCCCAGTAAGTGTTCTCAGTTCTGCCAAACAGTAAGGCTCATAAGTGGTGTCCAGGCTGTTCCGGAAAGCACCTGGCTCTATGGCTTCAATGCCAAATTGATCTGCCAAAAGGAAGTTTCTTAGCAGGCTGCACAGTGTGCCACTGCTCTAGTACCATGCAAACAGACACAGAGGAAGTAAGCGAGTTGGGCCAGAAGATCGTCAAAGGACAAGAGACTCTGTTTGGTGCCACAACTTGCTCTTGATTGAACTTTCTCCAGAAAACACAAGGCAGGTAAAAATTCTGCACTGATTAGAGCAGAGTCTAGATAAACGTAATAAGAATTATTAATGCCTATGTTGTATGATTCTTTTGAAATCAACGGTTTCAAAATCTTAATTTCTGAATACCAAAAAAGGAAGGGAGGTGGGGCTCTGGGTCCTTTTCCTATGATCCAAGTAAGAAATTTTCTATTATGTTAGAGTTATTCCCATAAGATAAAGAGGATTACCCTCAGCTTGTTCAAACTTCAAGAATTTCTTTGTTGAAAAGCTGAAGTCTCTGCATATTTTTCTGTTATCTGCATAATGAAAATTATTTCCTACACACAGAGGTAGAACTCCAGATAACGAGATATTTAAATCAAAGGATTACAAAGTTTTCTGGGCCTACGACTTTATCACCTAAAAACCTGTTTTACCTTTCTGCTCCAACAGAAAAGCGTCATGCTTTTGTCAAGTCTAGGAAATCTGATCATATCCTTCCTTTCCATATGAACTTGGATCAGTGACCTAAGTCTCTACAGCAGATTCAGCAATCTCAAACAGATGATGGAAGATGGTATGATATCATCAGCCCCTCTGTAATACTGGAAGCCAGCGCAAGTTTTAGGATTTGAAGGGAAAGTGATAAACTTGAAGAGAAGCTCACAATCTCAGGAGAATTTTACAGAATTCGAGGTATGCCCCCTAAAAGAGCTCTCCTTTTTTCCCTCACACCTTCAAGAGAGTGAGGGAAGCGCAGGGTAAACTTCACTTTGGGCATCCCCTCAAATTGATGTGAGAATTTTTAGACTCAATACAGGTCCAGTTATCTCACAGATGAAGAGGAATAAAAGCACAGCCACCTGAACTAGACGGATACAAACAAAATGATATGAGTTCTTGGTAACTTTCTCCAGGCTACCAAGTCAAACAATCAATCCATCAAACAACAACACTGCCAGGTTCTTATTAGAGAATTCTAGATGTTATGCAATCCACTAAATACTTCAGAAATCTTATTTTGCTCAGGTGTAAAGCCCTGATGCAGAGCAATCTGGTTTGTATGCAAAAATCTGCAGCTAATGTCAGTCTAATGCTATTACACTTTCACCTCAATTCTCCAGTTTAAGAAAATTAAATCTTAAGTGATTAGGCTGCTTTGCATATTACAACAAACTTGCACCAAAGGAATTTCAGATTTGGACCAAGTGGCATTCTATCTGTGGAATGCAGCAATAATGTAGGCATACCTCCACCTGTTTTTAGATGTGACTAAGACAAGTAAGCAAAAATCCATCAGAACCCTTTGGGTTCTCTACTCTCCAGTCTAACAGATTCCACAGGACCCATTGTGTGTGTATGTGTGTGCAGAGGGGTGTGTGTGTGTGTGTGTGTGTGTGTGCGTGTGCGCGCGCATGTGTGTGTGTGTTCTTTCCCATGCTGATGCATCTGTAAGCCTCCTTAATGAATGGATAATTGCTAGGAGAGCTCAGAAGAATAATCTCTCCTATCCCCATAGCATGTGTCTCTTATTCCTACCACCTGATTCATGCAGGGTCCAGGGACAGCTCCAGCCTGAGGCTCCTGTTGAAGTGTGACATAATACGGGCACAGTGCACAGGTTAGCAACAAGAGCCAGTTAACGGCAGGTGCTCTCACAAGTGAGCCTCATGAGCATACTCTTCAACTTTAAAACAAAAAGAAAGCTCCTTTAGAAGCTTTGGGGGACAGGAGCAAGTATCAGTAAGAAGCACTAGCATCACTCAGATGATGGCAGAATACGCCTCCTAGGCTATATGTTTGCATGAGCAGATAGCGCCTCAAAGTGACTTCCAGTCGGGCTGGACACAGACGTTAAAGACTCCTGTAATCTGGCCCAAGCCTGAGGAGCACTGCCCTTTGTGGCCTCCATCAGGAGCTGCGTCTGCTCTTTCAGCCGATCCAGCTCAGCCTGAGTTGCCTGGTTCTGCCGAATCAACTCCTTGGTTTTCAAAGTGATCTCCAACAAGCCGGACCTGTGCAAGATCACCAGGGTGTTCCGGAAGCGCCTGTGCCTGCTCTGCTGCTGCTCAGGGAAGGTTTCCAGAGGCTGGCGGACTTGGTCTCCTGCTCCAGGTGGGCCATAGGGAGCTGATAACGCCGACAGTGGCATGGGACTCTCTAACCCATGCAAAGTGCTATCAGATGAGCCAAGGGGGCTAGCAGGGGAAGCAAAAGTCAAATTTGGAGTTTTAGCCATACGGCTACTGGACACTGATGGACTACCAGGAACAGTTTGCAGACTTGTCACCAAAGATGACAAACGTTGCTGAACCGACTCCTGAGCGCGTTTTGTGTTGGGTGGCCCTGGAGCAGAAGGGTTAGATGGAAAAGTATTGGTCTTGGTTAGCCCAGTGGAAGACAAGCTTGTCCGGCGTCTCTCTGTACAGACTCGCTTCTGCACCCCGGTTTCTCCTCTGTCCTCTGGGGTGAGGGCAAGGCTCCTCTTGCCTGGATGTGGAGCTATTTTGGTGTAAGAGTTTAGAATAGGCAAGTAGTTTCTGGAGTCATTTTTCTTTTCGCCAGCAGGGTATGGGCTGACAGGAGGTGGCACAGATGGATGAAGGAATACTAGCTGTGGCTGAGCTGGAATCACTTCAAAAGAGGGCTGGACAGTCCAAGACTGGAGATGGGATGAATTTCTGCCCTGAAAAGAAAGAAGGAAAAGAACTCCATTGCCACATTTACACACTTATAAGATTAACAAAGCATCAATCAGAATTGGCAGAAAGGGTTTCCACTGCATACATAACAAATCCAGACCACATCACAGTCATGAGCTGAAAGAAGCCCTTTCAAAATCTGTGTATTTCTGACTGCAAACCTTATAAAATAATGAAAAGCTATTTCATTTTAACACCTTTTCTAATGAAGAACAAACATTTTTATTCCAAAGGTGTCACTTAGTTGTCAGTAGCTGTAGTCATTGTATAATTAGGGTCATAGCTAAGGTGATAATAAAATATGCTACAATTTCTGACATCAAGTTAAAATGTGATGCCAGCACATGAAATACAGGGCTCAAGGTATCATCCCATGCTTCTCCCTCTCCATTGTTAACACCTAGAGAGTGTCACCTAAACTTGCTGCCTCTGCTTCCTGTGCTCCACACAGTTCTCAACCCCTTCACTACCCTACTGAAACTCCACTCTTACAGGTCCCCAGAGACCTCTTAACTGCTCCATCTGATGGCCTTGTCTCAGCCCTTATTCCCCTTTCCACTCCCCATCTTTCTGGCACTGCTGACCATCCTCTTCTCCAACATACTCTCTCCTCAGATCACAGGGTCACAGCCTTAAGAGCTACAAGGGACCTTTGAGGGCATCTAGTTCAGCCTCCTCGGTTTATAGTTGAGGAAACTGAGTCCAAGAAAGGTCAAGTGACTTGCCCAAGGTTACATAGACAGTAAGTGGCAGAGCCAGGATAGAAGCCAGGTTCTCTGATTCCTTCTTTAGCATGTGTGATAATGCATTTCCCTTTCTTGGATCAACAGCCCTCTCCAACTCCTTAAGTATGAGTATAATGCTCCCCCAAAACTCTGGCTGGCCTTTGTCCCTCCTCCAAATTCTCTTGCTTGCTTGTCCCATCCATTACCATGGGTTCCATCTATCACCTCTAGACATATAACTTCCCAATCTATGAATCCAGCTTTACTCTCTCTCAAATTCCAGTTACATATCACAGACTACATGCAACTCAAGCTTCACAAATTAAAAACTGAACGTGGCCATCCCTCCTAAATCCATATATAGGTCTTTAAAGCATTGATTCAGACAGTACTGTACCCTAACTCCAGAGGACCGGTCCAGCTCAGTTTTGAGGGGGATCCCCAAAGAGATCTTTTAAAGGTCTAAGTCAACTTAAGGTCACCCTACTATAAAATATAACCACAGAAAAACACTTAATTCTAAGATTTGTGCCTGTTGTATAAGACAGACACACAGGATAGATGTCTCAAGCCAAACAAGAGTACATTTGAATTTCCAGGGAAATTTTAGACCAGGAATGAATCAGAGGAGTGAAATGACTAGTCTGGCCCAGAATAAAGTACAACTTCAGCTTGTTCCTAGTTCAGACCCATATCATAAGGGTGAGCCAGAATTAAGGGGAGATTTATAAGGTAAATAGCTGATTGCTTCACTGCATTCCAGTCCTATGGCTTTAGAATGCCTCTCCCCACAAACTGACATTTTTTTTACAAGAACGTTTCACTGCTGCGCTTTAGCATAATATACTATGTCCACTGCCCTAAAGAACATCTGGCTTAGTTATCAGATATGCAAACTCATTTCAGAGCCTGAGTATCACATAATTTGTCAACTAGACAAGAACTTAGATATCACGTAACCAAATTCTCTCATTTTTACAGATAAGGAAACCAAGGCCCACTGAAATGATTCTGTCAAGGTAACAGCTAACCAGTGAATAGAACTAGAACAAAAAAGCAAAATAAAACTACGTTAAACAGTGCAGCAGAGGACAGCACATTTTATCCAACAACACTCAAAACAAGACTATTACAAACCTGAAACAATACTTCACCGCCTATCACATAAACAGTAACAAAAAGGGTTCCCCCCAAAAACAACTCACTTAGCAATGTGAGCTACTTAAAATTAATTCTCAGTTCATGCCATTCCCTAGCGTTTTCTATCCCAATAAACCACCAAAGCCTTTCTAGCCAATCACGCTCATGAAGAATACTGCACTGCTGGAAAAGCACATTCAGAACACAACCTTGGATCACCATCAATTTTCTATAGCTACCAACATGGCCTACAACAAAGAGAAGCTATAATCACACACACAAGAAAGAGAAGCAAGGGGCCCAGAGAAAAGGTAGGAAGAAAAAGAAACACATTCAAATAAAAGCCAGCAAAGGGATAGTACTGGTGATTCAAGGACACTTAAATCAGGTTTTATTTACTACCTTTGATCTTGCTTTTCATTTTCTCACTGAGGACTGTACCAGCAGCTGAGAGGTAATCTCCTGAACAACACCCCTTTTCATAACTCGCTAGAATGCCACTAGGCTTCCCTGTTAGAAATCAATACGTTCTCCTGGGAAGAACCAGGCAGTAGTTATAATGCTAACGTTTTTTGTGAAATTGAGCCATGTTCTTTTAACCATGCACTAAGGTATAAAAAAGTCAAAGCTATTCAAAGTATTTTTATCCTCGAAGACATCCTCCTCAACCAAGGATGGCCCTCACCACTAAAAGAACCACACTTTTCTGACAGTAGAGTCAGGTAAAGTTAAAAAGCCCCTTCCTTAAATGATGTCTGGGCTTAAACATTTACTTTTACTCATTCCTCAGCTTTTGTTATTCACAAATAGGTTCATAGCTCTATAGCTACGCTTAAATTGTAAACTTGGGTCATCTTTTCCTTCATGGTTACTTGATTATTATGTGATGTATATAATTATGCCATAATTAAAGGACAAATTTACATATTTCTTTGCACCATAACTGCTGTCAAATCTGGCCAAGACTACATAGAAACAAAAGAGTTCGTCTGTCAAATAAATGTGAATGGGTGCCCTTGTTCCCACACCTTTGGAGTGTCCCAGCAGGCACAATCTTCCCATCCCTTTGTGTCTAAGCAGTGAGTGACTGTTTAAACTGCTCATACAAATTTCCAAATTCTAAAGACGAAATTCTAGGGTTATCAAAATCTTCTAACCCACTTCTCCTGTCTCACCTTTTTAATGTTCTTTATGCTTTCTATCCCTTAACAGCCAAATAGATATCTAAATCTAACCAGATTGACTTTATACATCACCTTTTCATATTTACCATACTAAGAAATACTGAATTGACCTAGTAACTGGTAAGGCAATACTATAAAATAAAAAAGGCTTAAGATGTAACATCAATAAACATGAAAGATACTTCTCATTCTGAAACAACAAATTATTATATTCTATTTCCCTAAGTTTCCTCCATAGTTTCAAATCAACTGAAGATTTTTCTTAGTTTTCTCTCCTAAACTGCTTTCTGAGAATGTTATACAGCTAAAAGATTGCTTATCTGAAGAGCTACATTGCAGGACAGATTTCCTTTGTATATAATTAAAGGACTGCCAAATGTGTTCATGGAACTTAGATGCTAAAATTCTCATAAATATCATTTTTAGCCATGTCAGTGAATGGAAGATTAACATTTTCACTCTAACAGAGAATTTCAGTGCCAGTCTATTCCCCTGTGGCGTGTTCCTAAAACTTCTGCTTTATCCAGAGGATAGCAGATAAGAAGGAAAAAGGCCCTAGTAGAGCACAGTGGCAAAATCAGAAGAATAAAGAATCTTTTAAAGACAGAAAGTATAGGCTTTTAGCACACAGATTTTCAGAGATATTCTTCTTCAGTGATCTTTACCTGTCTGACCAACACATTCTTCATGACAACCATGGAAGACAGAGCTGGAAAGGAATTACTCGCTATTGTGGAGTTCTGTCGGGGCCCATCTTCTCCGTGCCAGCCTAGGGTGTTCAGCACATCCTCTGAGTCCATTTGCTCTGCAGAGCTCAAGCACTCTGAGCTTCCATCTGATACCAGGAAAAGTCAGAAAAGCAGTTAGTTGAGTCTGTGGCCACCAGACAGCTCGCCTTCTACCTCAGAACGCCAGCTTATCGCGTCTTCTTCAGGGGCCACTGGGCTTTGTTGATGAGGGGCTCAGATTACTTGATGCTACTTGACGGCCAATTGGCAGTCAATGACTGAAATGAGTTGGGGAATTCCGACCAGATCCTTCCGGATAGGGACTCATGTTTAAATCCCTCTCATCAGAAGGAACACAAACTCAATGAAAGTCTCAACGGGGGACTTCTAGACATGAAATTAACCCTTTTAGCTTAGGTTTAAAAACTATGAGGAAAATGTACACGCCCCTTTGTGCCTGTCTAATCTGAGACCCTAATGAGAGAGCCTATATTCCTAATATAAAATGCACAAAAATTGAAGATAAAATGAAAATTATCCCTAGCCCATTTTAATTGGAGTTGTACAGCAGCATTCCAAGCTTTGTTAAAATTCTGACCGTTAAAATAATTTTTTATTATTAATAATTGGCAACAAAAACAAACAATATAAAAAACCCAAGAGTTTGTCATGTGAAATTCTCATATAAGAAACTCTGAAATTCTATCATTTTAAAATATATAAACATACATGACACATATATGCACATACACACATATATCCTTATATATAAATAAAATTCAATGTAGTAACAAAACTATTCTATATTTGTGTCTCCTTCTATGCTTCATTTTCTTCTGTGAAATTTTTTAAAAATACACTGTATTAATCTTTTTATGTCTATCACCAAAATCCCCACAGAATAACCCAAGGACTACGAAGACAAAGGAAAACAAAGATTAAGAACAAACAATGCGTTGACTGTTCTAAAAGTTAATTTCTGGCAAACAAAGTTATTTTAACACATCACTCAGTAATTCTACTGAGCTGATTCCTTAACTGTTAACGATCAACAATGCACAAAGTGTTTTTTCCTGCAGTCTGATAAACTATTTGTGCAGAAAAAACAGCTGAAACAACAGAAGCGTGAGTACTGAAATATTTTTCCCTGCAAGAGTGGAAAGCATTTGGTTTAAAGCTCGGAGATCAATCTGTAACTAGATGTCCCATCCTCCTGACATTGTCAGCAGCTGCTCTGAATGTAATATTACTGTATGACATCAGAAAAACTATTTTAGAGTTTAGATATTTATCCTGTGTATAAAAGTGCATCATCCTAGTCAGACAAGTAAGTGATGAGTGGAGGAGATTCTGAAAACCAACTGTTATGGTTATAATGGGTGGTTGGCTGTTCAGTCCTTTTCAGCTGTGTCCAAATCTTCGTGACCCCATTTGGGGTTTTCTTAGTACAGATCCTGCAGTGGTTTGCCATTTCCTTCCCCAGCTCATTTTACAGTGAGGAAACTGAGGCAAACATGGTTATGTGACGTGTCCAGGGTCACACAGCTAGTAAATGTCTGAGGACAGATTTCAACTCAGGAAGATGAGTCTTCCTGACGCCAGGTCTGGCACTCTATGCACTGCGCCACCTAGCTGCCCCTTATAATGATAACAAAAAGTATTTTTAACCTGAAAATCCAGAGTCCTTATCTGACTCAGCAGCTGCCATGCTGAAGCGATGAGCCATTTGTTTTCTCTCCATTACTTTGCCAAGTTTAGCCAATAGCCTTCTCGGGCTGCTTCTGGGTGGGTCTTTTCTCTCCATACTCTCACTGTGCGGGAAGCAGATTCATCAACACTCTTTCCATCTGGACAACCCTACGATAACAATTAAATAAGAAGTCATTAATCCTTAGGAGCTGAAAAAAAGCAACTTCAATGGTGAAGCGCAAATCACTCATACACAAAGACTAGCTCCCTCCGGCTTCTGGTATGTCTTCTTGCAGGCCTCAGTGAACAAAAACAATGTATTTCATAGACTAATTTCCTTCCAACTTTCAAATATATAGACTTTTAGATTCACTTCCAAATTGAAGCATAAGCAGTTGAAGGCTTTGAATGTCTTTAACAAAGAAACATTTACTAGACTTTTTAGAACAGATAATAGGTTATCAATTTACCTTTATTTCTGAAATGAAATGGATGTTTTTGGACCAGTTCTTACTTCATACTGCAAAAATTAAGGTCGCAGGGGCAGCTAGGTGGCACAGTGGATAGAGCACCGGCCCCGGAGTCAGGAGGATGTGAGTTCAAATCCAGGCTCAGACACACAACACTTGCTGTGTGACCCTGGGCAAGTCACTTAACCCCACTGCCTGGCCCTCCCCCCCTAACAAAATTAAGGTCTCAAAGCCTAGCCCAGATGACCTCCCATAGCGTCCAGACTTTCCGTTAATACTACGAGTGTCTCAGTACTTTGTCCAAACTACGCGCACACTACCCCAAAGGTAAAAGTGTTCCAGTCACTTCTGGCAGTTTTTAGGCTTAAAGGTAGTTTTCACAAAAGATTCAAATAGGTCACTAAGCCATAAATAAATAGGAGTTTATTATGGAACAGTTCTAACTTGTACACAGAAGACCTAAGTCCTAGAATGGGAGGGTGGAAGTAAAGAAGTGTTTCGTTGCTGGACTCAGATTTGGGGGTTTTGGGCAGAAAGAGGAAGAGAGAGGGAAGAGACAATGAGGAATAGCCTAGCCCTAGTGGAAAAGTTCCTCCTAGACTTACATATTTAGTTGCTTCACTAACTCTCCATCACTCCTAGTTTTCAAGACATTTGACTCAAGGGCTGGGCATGTGGATTATTGCTCAGATGTGTCTGATGGGTGTCACAGGCAGGGAGCCCCTACAAGCCTGGGGAGTAAAAGTTTCCAGAAATCGACTCAAAGAGAAAGTGCTAGGTGGGAGGAGAGGATGGGGTGCAGAGCAGAGGGCTTGCTTAATAAGTCCTAAGAAAGGTTTTGTGGACTCTCACAGAAGATAAAAGCTTTGGGGTGATCAGGGTAAGTGGATGAACGGGAAACCGACAGTAACATCTGTATTTGCATAGAACTTGTGGTTTACAAAGTGCTTTCACACAATCATTTCATGACAACCCTAAAGAGTAAGCAAGGTATGGATTATTAGCTGTTTCGCAGGTAAAAAAAAAAACTGGACCTCAGAAAAGTTAAGGGATGTGGCCAAAGTCACATAGCTACTCAGTGGCAAAGCCTAGAACAGAAGCCAAATTGTTAAATGCTGAAATGGGTCACAAAGCTAATCACACAATTGACAGACCAGTGAAAACTGAGACTACCTCAGATTTAGCTCTTTCAAAAAGGTCCTTTTAGGATCAGCAAAGAAAAACACTAAATGGGTACTACAAGGTTGGCACTGAGAAGCACAAAAAAACAAAAACAAAACCTAAAGCGCTTAGCTAGAGCAATGCTTAAGGAAAAAAAAAATAATAAATAATCCTGAGTCTGAGTACTCCAAATCCTTGGGATATTTTAAGTGCATAATCAATTTATGACTTTATTCTATGAGATTTATGGATATTTGTTTCATTGTTAGGTTCAACACTTTTGTTTCCTTGTCTTCTTAAATGTCCTGACACCCAATTATCTATAGGACACAACTACTGTTGAAAAAAAAAGCCTCCCCAAACTAACAAATGAAAACTGATTTTTTTTTTACTAGACAATAATCAATTAACATATCATAAATTATTAGGTCTGTTCCAAAACTGAGTCTAGTAGTTGGGAGAATCAGTCACTAGCAACTGGAGGATTGCAAAAGGTTTCATGGAGAAGGGAGTGCTTGAGCTGAATCTTGAGGGAAATAACGTATTCTATGAGACAGATGATATGAAGCCTGAGAGCATTCCAGGCATGGGAGATGGCCAGTGCAGATGCACAGATACTACAGCAGCAATGCCAAGAACTTCTGGCAAACACAAGCAACTAATAAATAGGCAGGGGGAGGACCCAAACTAAAATTAAATTGAAATTAAGGATGTTTAAAGCTTGCCCAACTCCTTACTGACTGGAGTAGAGGACATCAGGGAGCTCAGCCAGTCCGAATGAGAACAAATTCCACATTAGAATACCAGTATAGTTAGTGAATATATATACATATGGCATAGTGAATATATATAAATGTAGCATAGTTAAACATTCAACTGATTTAAGGATATAGGCTTCTTTACCTATAAATTTATTTTTATTTTGTTCACTGGTTAATTTTTAAATATAAATGTATATGTAAATATATTTAAAAATTAAACATTAGATACACAAATAAAATAAATGTATTCTTTACCTGTAAATTAATTTCTAACCACCAAGAACCCCTAGACAGATTACTCATTTATTTCTATGTGCATAAAAGAGAGAAAATGGAAATGTCATTTCTTGTACCAAACTGTGCACAATGTAATGTCTCTGTACTGCATAAGAAGCTTGACAGCTTGAATAACCCGGATAAAACAGTGGACTAACATGTATAATTGTATCTCTAATTAAATCAGGGTCTTTTTGTGTGAAATGCAACAAATGTACACATTTTAATTTTCTTGTAAAGAATGTTGTTGTTGTTAAGAAATTAATTGCAGGCCTCTTCAAAATGGAAGTAGATGTGGCTAAGGGATGGTCATTCAGACTAATACAAAGATGAAAATGAAGAACGTAAATTAGGAAAGGAGTTCCTTACTCCTATTTTGTAAATAATGTCAACACGAAGTTTCCTATCTCACCAGCAATGTACTGCCTGAGTGAACAAAGTTAACACAGCTCTTTCAATAAAGGGTTTTAAAAAATCAGTTACTTTTGTAGAGTCAGCAGAGCTGACTAACAAATTGGATTTCATTCTGCCACAAACAAAATGGGCAGAGCAAACCTGACTGTAGAATTGGAGAGAAGTAAAAGGATCATAGACAGATTTCCAGATCATAAGATCCTAGATTCGGAGATGGAATGGACTTTCAAAGCCACCCTTTTTACAGAATGGCAACTAGGTAGCACAGTGCAGAACTGGAGAGTCAGCAAGAGCCAAGTTCAAATGCTGCCCCAGATACTGATTGTATGACCCTAGGCTAGTCACTTAACTCTGGGGGCCACAGTTTTCTCATCTGTAAAATGGGGATGATAGCAGTTACTGCCCAGAGTTGTTGCGGCAGTCAATTCAGTTAATACACAGCGTTCTGCAAACCATAAAGCTCTACATAAATGCTAGCTATTCTAATAATTGCAGATGAGAAAAATGAAGCAAAGAAGCATTAAATGACTTGCCCAGGGTCACTCATCCAGTAAATAATGTCTGAGTCAGGACTGATCCTGGGTATCTCTGACTCCAAGCCTAGCACTAAATACACTTTACCAAAATGGCTCTTCAAGTGAGATTTTTGCACCCACGTTCTCTGTCTCTAGAGCTCTTGCTTTTCCCACTGTACCTCCATGTTTATACAATACTTACTGACACTAGAACATCTGTGGTTTTTTGCTGTTGTTGTGTGATTGTTCAATAATTTCAGGTGTGTCTGATGCTTTGTGACCCCATTTAGAGTTTTCTTGGCAAAAAATACTAAACTGGTCTGCCATTTCCTTTTCCAGTTCTTTTTATAGATGAGGAATCTAGGCAAACAGGGTTAAGTGACTTACCCAGGGTGATACAGCTAGTGTCTGGCACTGGATTTGAACTCAGAAAGATGGGTCTTCCTGATTCCAAGCCCAATGTTCTATCCACTGTACCACCTAACTGCCCTGGGATATCCACGGTAATCAGAAATTAAAAAATACAAAAATATTTTACATGGTAAACAGAGGAATTTTTATATGTAAACCTCTAATGTAAAGTTGTTTTTTTTAGAGAACAGAAATCTTTAATGTCCCAACAAGGTTCAAGTGAGACAAGACTACAGGGCTACATTATACCTTTAGTTTTTTTCTCTCTGTGGAATGAGACACATTCTTTTCAATGAGTGGTGATGATGCGAAAATTCAACCACTGAACAAAAGACTTTACTAATAAATAGAATCACATAAGGCACTCAACAGGAGAGGTAGCAGTTAGACTGATGGCATTTATTTATCAATGATCTCAGAATGAGAGCTACACAAAATGGCAAAATATCAAAACCTAAAGTAGTTGCATTGCTTTAAGTGCAAATTTAAATAGCTATTGGCAAACTAGAGCCTGAGAATTCATTGCTCAACTCTGTGCCTCTAAGTCATCTGTTCATTTCTGGCACAGGCCGACAGTGGCTAAAATTACTTTGTAGACATCTGAAGTCCTACTGTGAAAGGTGTTAGGGCTATTTCTCTAGGACTTTATTAGAATCTGAACTGAACCAAAACAAGTTGTCACAACTGGCACTAATCAGGCCTTTTCTTTATATAAATGTAACAGTTCTTGAGGGTCCCCAGAGTACAAAGATCACACAAAAGGGCAAAACAACAATAAATAATTTGTATTATGGTTTTTTTCTGTTAAAAATGTACACATGCATTCAAATACACTAACAAGAATCACGTATTGCAATTTCTAAACTATGTCATAACTATTAACTACTGTTTTATCAACAAAGTGATAAAAATCTATTCCCAGTCCATATCCTCCTGAAGCTTTTTATAACATCTCTGTTGGCTCATCAGTAATGCAAAGGTCCTCACTATTTCATAAGCAAAGGTTCTGCATATCCAAATAAAGGACAAATAAGATTACTCCTAGATTTAGTCAACTTTAGGCCCCAAAGATATGATCTGCCCTCTCTCTTCCAAGACAGAAACTAGAACAGGGGTGGGCCCTTTAGGTCCTCAGATGCAACCCTTTGACTGAAGGTCAC